GCTTTTGATTACTGGGGCTGCTTTTGTTTAGTTCAGTTTGGCTTGTTCCCTTTCCCTACACCTTCCATTTTGGTGTATTTTTTCTTCTCTAAAATAAAAACTTGGATTTAGATTAAATGATACTGGTTTGGGGCAATAAAAAGTTTTTTCTTCTTCCTTATCTTTCTTTCTTCTCATATGTGCTCCATAAACCCTTCCAATAACTGTTCTGTTTTGCAGGATGATTAAAGCCATTTCTTCTCCCATCAGATATTTCTATAACATGAGAGGTATTTATTTTCTAGGTTGATTTTTCAGTTTCTCAACATCATTTTGTAGTTTCCATACTTGTCTAAATAACAGATACTATCTGTTCCTATTTTGTAATCCCTTGAGCCTGTTTCACCATACTCCACTGGGTGGTTAATGGTTTCTGGCTTGCTATTTATTGCTTCTAATTAATTGCTTGGATCACAGCCCTCAGCTATCAATTTAGTACTTGATTCCTTGCTTCTAATTAATTGCTTGGATCACAGCCCTCAGTTCCTATTTTGTAATCCCTTGAGCCTGTTTCACCATACTCCACTGGGTGGTTAATGGTTTCTGGCTTGCTATTTATTGCTTCTAATTAATTGCTTGGATCACAGCCCTCAGCTATCAATTTAGTACTTGATTCCTTGCTTCTAATTAATTGCTTGGATCACAGCCCTCAGCTATCAATTTAGTACTTGATTCCTTGAAGTTTTAACCAGAAATTGTCTGTTCAGATCTCTAAGAACTACTGCATCAGCCTCTTTCTCTATCTGGATGGCCTGAATCATTGTTTCTACTTATCAGAGTCATACTGTGAAGTAAAAATGTCAAGGGACTTTGTAAAATGGAAAACTCCACACACATGTGAATGCGTATTTAGCAAAGCTTTCACTGAGGCACTCTACCGCCTAGGAACCTGCAGTTCCCAAATGCCTACCCTATCAATTTCAAATTCCTCTTCCCAAGTTCACCCATAAAAATACCCCATTTCACCTGTCCCACCGTGTTTTCTAGTGCCTGTCAACAGGGACCCCTCACTTCCTGCAAGGTGGACACTTCACATCATCTTATCTATAAAGTATATCAACAACTCCACACAGTTCTCTGCTACTTTCTAGCCATGTGACTTAAGATACATAAATTTTCTGTGGGTCAGTTTCCTTGATTAACTCTGAAGTGCAGATAAGAGAAGCATCTAAGTCAGAGTTGCTATTAAGGATTAAAGTTAAAATGGATAAGGTATTTAGAACAGCGCATGGCACACACACAATAAGCACTTGTTAAATGTTAGCTCCAATTGGTGTTATCATCAGCCTAGATTCATGGAGGCTACAACACAGGAAATGAGGTGTAAATGATTTACCTTTAAAGAACTCACAGATTGGTAGAGTGATGAGTTATGTGTCCACATGTAATGCATGGTAAATATAGGAGGAATACAGGCAGATGAATGAACTGTCCCAAAGCTCTGACCTTCTCTCCACTGTTGTACCAGCTCTTTCCCAAATAGGAAAAACTACGGTCAGAACTCAATGGTCAGAAACTCATTGACTGGGACACATTTTACAAGTAGACAGATTACTGTACCTTAAAGATAAGCAACTATCAATGGTGTTTCCTCTTTTCCTTCTGAGGCAGGGTACAGCCCCATGGAAAAGCCAGTCGCCAGCATCCCTGTGGCTGGTCAGACTCAGGGTGTTCTCTTCAGACCTGGACTGCAGAACTTAGCAGCAGGAGGCTTCACCTGGGACTTAAAACCAAGCCAACAAAACCCAACTCAGGTTTTTCAGAGAATCCTCTGAATAGGGTCTTTGCCCATAATCATGTGGTCATCTGTTTTATATTCTATTGCTGTTCTGAATATATAGATTCTGGGTTGAGAACTTCAAGAGGAAGAGGCATGAGTGGTAGGATTCAAGCACTAAGGTCCTACTGAAATTCCTGACCACAGAGAACAAAAAGGGTCATGGCAGCATTAAATCATGGGCTGTAAGAGAATATCCTTGCCTAGTGGTAGAAGGCTCCCCGAGACAGGTGGCATCTGTGCCTGGGCTCTGAGTGTGAGTAGTATAGGTTAAGACAGTGGGAACTCCCAAGGCATCTGAAACGAGCATTGTTAAACCAAAACATAATTTAACTTAAACAATGAACACATTAGAGGGTGATTACAGAGACATCAAATCAGCCAGTCTTCAACCTCTGACTTGGACACTGGAGAAATGGTCTCTGGACACAGTGCGTAATCATCAGTGGGCTCCCACAAAGTTTCAGTGAACTCTCCATCACCATCCCCATTATTTTAATTCCCATTTTTGGATGTCATATTACTAGGTTATTTTTTCACTAAAAACTCAGTTTGTTGGCTACTTTGAACCTAAGAAGGGGGTACCTGCATAGAGGAAACAAATGGTCCAATCACTAGAAAAAGACAACTCCATTTGTACTGATATAAAGAAGGATAGTTTAAGGTACTATTTACATCTCTCCCCTTGTCACTTCCTCCAAAAACACTCAGGCTCCCTCCTTCCTTCTCCAGTGAATTCATTCCAGAAAACTTCACCTCGTATTTCCAGAATCCATGAACTATTTTGAGCCTTCATGTTATTGGGTCTCACCATGGCATGGGACACTGCTTCCTGACACCCTCGTTTCCTCTCCCTTCTAGATGGGACACCCTTCTAGGACATCTCCTGGTTCTGCCTCTCCCTCTCTGGAACCACCCTTTTAAGACAATGTCACTAATTAGTTGTAAGGATCTTGGGAAAGTCTATTCAGGGCCCACAGGGCTAACGTACAGGCCCAAGCCCCCGAGAGACTCACCCCTGAAACATCCTCACTAGCACCTGCCAGATGGTTGCAGGACCTGCATTTGAAGATCACTGGGACTGTCAGAGATTAGAAGAAGAATGGACAGTGAAAGCTCAGGGTGAGGGAAGAGAAGGAATAAGACAAGGTTGTAAAAGGAAGTTGAGCCAGAGAGAACATTCCAGATGAAGGAGTTGAAGCTTCATCCAAGGAGCAAGTTGGAACCACCAGAATTTTGAGGGTTAGAGTTGGATTTCAGGTTGTATGTACAAAATGGGTGAGAGTAGAAAACAGACAACTGGGCATTTATACACATATGGCCGGCCACGCTGCCCCTGTAGCATCTCACCTAAATGCCCTCCCTCTTCAGTCTCCACCCAAGTCTTTCATACTTCCTGGTTCAACTCTACAAAGCCTCCCTTACAGCTACAGTCACCTGATGTTCATGTTCACAAAACCATCTGGACAATATAACTAACTTCATTCTCTCTGTATATGCAAATTGACATACAGCATCCAATTTTGTTCTTCATTTGGTTGATACATGTGCCCAGTGAAAATATAAGTTCTCATATGCCACATTTGTGTCACCTGGCAGTGTGCTAGGCTGACAGTGAACAGAAAAAGTATGTATTAGATGCTTGCAGAAACAGATGGCTTTGGAATATTTATTCTTCTTCAGAGTGACAGGTTCTGCTTCTGCTTGTCCTCCTCCCACCCTTGCCACATGGCTGTCCAGCTAGAGGACTACATTTCCCAGCCTCCTTTTCAGCTAGGTCACATAATTATGCCCTTGCCAAAGGAATGTGAGCTGCAGAGATCTGTGCAGCCAGCCTAAAAGGTAATTACTTGTCTTGAACTTTCTTTTTCCTTTCTTCAAGCTTGAACAAGGACATGGAAACAAACTGACTACTACCACACAGATGAGGACAAAACCTTAGGGGATGATGGAACAACAAGATGGAAGGACCCTGGGTCCTTGAATGACCTTGTAGAACAGAGCTGTCCTGCAGGCCCAGACCAGCCAGACTCATGTGAGAGAAAAACTATCCTATTTAAGCAACTAAACGATGGGGGTTTCTGTTTCAGTACTTGAGCTTCTACCCAACTAATGTATTTCCCCAAGTCCATTCTCTCCATCTTCCTTAATATAATTCTAATTTTTTAGTTGGGAATATTATGTCCCAACTAAAAGGCCACATTTTCAAGCCTCCTTTGCACCTATGTGTTACCACATGACTAAGTTGTTCTCAATGAAGCATAAGTATAATTGTTAAATGGGATTTATGAGTCTTTTGATGAAGCAGTCAGTGACCTTCCCACTTTCTCTTTCCCACTGTCTGAAAACCGAATATAATGACTGGATATCAAGCAGTCATTTTGGACCATGAAGTTAATATGCTAAGAATTGCAAAGAAGCAGAAGATAAATCCAGTGTCTCTGATGAGCATGGAGCCTTCACTACCAGTTCGGGACTGCCTACTAGATTTTTTTATATGACAGAAGAACTTCTGTATTTTTTAACCTTTGAATGTTTATTAGTTTGTATGCAGCTCAACTTAATTCTAAGTAATATATATATACACAGCATCTTATCAGTTGCTGCAGCACTTATTTCAAACCTCAACTTGATTCTTAAACATTCTTTTTAGCAGAAGAAAAGGAAAATCACTACTTTCCAAATCTCTGAGGCAGTAAGCCAGTTTCCACTCCTTATGAACAGAAACAGCTTAGCTTTTGTGCGCCTGTCTCTGTAAATTTGGGTCAACACTGACAGGGAGGAAATAAGGCACCATCTCTTTAATGGGATCTCTGCTTCCCACCAGCTGCCCCTATTTCAACACACCCCAGGCCAGATGGCACTCTCTCCTCTACAAGCCCCTGGCAAGGGAGGGTGGAGGCCAGATGCTGACAACTGGGGGAGTCTAGGCTAAGCCCCACCTGTCCTCAGCCTCGCAGGACAGCGGACCACCTCCCTCTCCCGGCCTGCAAAGCGGGCTGCGAGGGCCGGCGCTTCGGCTCCCACCTGGAGGCCGGCGGGTGTCTGAGTGGTGCGCTCCCCATCCCGGCGTGGACTGTCCCAGAGCTGCCTCCGTTCGCATCCTTACCACACCGCCTCCTCCACCCCTGCTCCGCCGCCGCTGGGGTCCCACAGCGACCACCCCACCCTCCCGCAGCCTCACCCTCCTCCGCCAGGTAGCGCAGATCGTAGAACTCCCCCGCGAAGGTGCCGTAGGAGGAGTCGTGGCGCGAGACCGCCTCGTTGGCGACCGCGTCCCCCCGTGCGCGGCCTCGGGGTCCCCGGCCCCCCGGGCCCGCGCCGTCGTCCGCCGGGCTAGCGGCGCAGGTGGCGGGCCCCGCCAGCAGCAGCCAAAGCAGCAGCGTCCAGGCCCCGGGGCGCTGCCTGGGCGGCCGCGCCATCACTACGCACGGATCCTCAGCCAGGCCGCTCGGGCCGCAGCGGGGGCGCCGGGGCGCGGGGCCAGGTCTGCGCCGCCACTGCCGCCCGACGCTACCGACCCCGCGCGCAGCCGCGCAGCCGCCCGCGCAAGCCACCTCCCGGCCTCGGTCTGCGCATCCTCCATCCAACTGGAGCCCTCCCGCTTTCTCCTCGTATCCTCTCCTCCCCGCTGGAGCTCCTTCCTTGCGGCTTCCTTCTGCGTCCTTTCTTCCATTCTCCCCAGCGACCCTGCCTTTCTCCAGGAGTCTCCCACAGACATAGATTTGGCCGGTCTGGGCCCCTGCTACTCAGAATGTGGTCCGCGGACCAGCAGCATCTCCATTCCCAGAAAGCTTGTTAGTATCACTAATGTCAGGCCCCACCGCAGACCCATCAATCAGGACCTGCATTTAACAAGATTCTCCAGGAGACCCCAATACATGCCCAAATTTAAGAAGCGCTCCTCCAGAGAGTTTAACCTGAATACACCTTGTCAGAATTGCTGGTCCCCTCCTGCCACCCCCAACCCCAACCTTGCCCCATTACTTTTTTGCTTTATATAAGGCACTTACTGTACCCATTATTTCTTGGGATGATCACAGAAGGAAGTTGAAATAGCAGGATCCCCACTATAAAGGTAGGTGAACTGAGATGCTTACAGCCAAGGGAGATCCTGGAACCCAGTTCTTTGGACTGGATTTGCCTGCTTCCTTTCCAGACCTTTGGAGTATGTAATCAACAGAAGCGGCTGGTACCCTTGCACTACCTGCCCCCTTCAAAACTAGGCACCTGGTTTACTGTTTCTCTGCAGTAAGCATGGACAGGCCTTGGTAAGCCCATGCTGTGTGTGATGGCTACGCTGAATCCTCAACTTTCTCAACTCCATTCCTGCCACTTGCAGTTCATTCCTGTTGTTTACTCAGCTATCCACTTATTCATCCCACTTACTACAGGCCAGTTCCCTGAGTTCTTTTCTAACAATGGTTTGGGAGTGATAGCACATTCAAACTGCTAAGCTGTTTCCTGTTAGAAAACACCGGCACAATTCCTTCCACACTGGTATTGCAGAGCCAGCATTTTAGCATGCTTTTTAAAATTATTTTATTGCATAAACAAAGGAAACCTGTGGAGGCAGAAAAGCATAGAGGTTCCAAATGCAGGCCCAGAAGTCAGACTGTGTGGGGTGGTGATCAGTGACCTCTATGATGACAATATAGACTAGGTAAGCTGATAGAGGTAAGGATCAGTAGGGTTCAAAGGTATAAAAGGAATGAATAAATATGCATATGATTATGAAATGTTCAAGAGGCAACCAGTGATCTCAACATTTTTTGGCCCAGGGGAGATGGGAATGGGGGTGCTGCTGTGGATATTGTGAGAAGTGCTGTGCGAACCCATTGGTCAGGTGTTTGCTACTGGGTATTAGCCAAAGCTCGTGCTGGGTTGTCCAAGAGGAATTTAAACATGTTTATCTTGACAGGTGAATGGGGTGTAGTTCATGTAAACCTTGGGCTTCACTAGGTCTCCCAAGATGCCAGATGTTGCAGGAAATAGATTTATTGCTTGAAAAAGGTAAGATGAACTATAATTACTTTAAAAATCAAAACAAAGAGACTTCGTCCCACAAAATATAGCTTTGCAATGCATAAAATTCTAAAATACAAAAAAGCCAATTCATTGAAAATCCTTTGAAGTGTAGTCCTTAAAAAAGACTTGTTCTTCAAAATTGAAACTCCTTTCTTTTCTTTTCTTTTTCCTGTATACGAGGAAAGGTATGGTCAGTTTTAAATGGACTAACAGTCAGCAAAAAAATAGCAAGCATGGGACTTTTGATTTCAGTGTTGGTTCTCTGGTTAGGGAATCCAAGCTGTTATCTATTACTTTCTTCTTTCTTTTTAATTACTGTAATTAACAGTGTTGGTGCCAGATAGAAGGCAAATGAAAATCAGGTCATTCTTTGGGTAAATCAGACTGATAAAAGCAGGCAGGTGTTTTTGTTTGTTTGTTTTTTTGTAGGGGCTCCTGTGGGAGTGTTGGAGGAGGGTTTGTAGGTCTAAAATGAGGCTGGTAGGTAATTTGTGGATCTCAATGATCTATCTATGATCAAGGATCTGGGGTCCATGGACTCAAAGGGGGCCATAGATTGGCTTCAGTGGTGGCATGAGGACTATGGAAGTGCTGGAATAATGTGATATAAGGATTTTTCTGGAGAGAATACTTACAGCTTTCATGGGTCACTCAAAACCTGCATGCCTCTCGGGGGGCTTAAAGCCTTCTCTGGTTTCCAATTCCCTACTGATTTGGCTGCTTCCTTACATGAGGTTCTCTCCCACCCACTTAAATTGTGTTTGGAGATTTTCTTATTCTTTGTGTTATCTTACAAGATTTGAGCCCTGGACAGAGACCTGTTCCCACCCTCAGCACATCTTCCCCTCTTTGTTACATCACACATTTTGTAGATGCCCCCTGCTCCCCAGCAATGTGAGTCCACTGAATGGTCAAGAAAAACCATGGTTTTCTCTTTTGTGGGGAAGAACTTTTCCTGAACATTCTGAGACCACTGGCTGAACAAGAGTCAGCTATTCAAACAAGAACTTAGAGATGAAACTGAGTTTAATTTCATTTTCATTTTTAAAAGACAGCTTTCTTCTTATCAAAGCCATGCCTATAAAACAACATTTTTTCTGTTATAAAAAGTCCCCAAAATCAGTGTTGCATCTCAGCATCTGACCAGTAACAGATCTGCACATGCTTCTGACTGCCTCATATAGGTGATTTCATTTTTGATTGCTTACAGAATAACAACTGTGATCTTGGTAATTCCTCCAAAAATTAAACATGGGATTGCCATATGACCCAGCTATTCCAGTCTTAGTTATTTACTCAGGAAAATTGAAAACATATGTTTACACAGAAACTGGCACATGAATGTTCATATTACTTATAATAGCCAAAAAGTGGGATCAACCCAAATGTCTGTCAAAGAATGAATGGAAAAACAAATGTGGTATATCCCCACAGTGGTATATTATTCAGGCATAAAAGGGAATGGAGTACTGATACATGCTACATAGATCGACCTTGAAGACACTGTGTTAAGTGAAGGAAAACAGTCACCCAAGGGACCATATACTGTATGATTCCATTTATATGCTATGTCCAGAATAGACAAATCCAGAGACAGAGGTAAATTAGTAGTTGTTAGGGGACAGGGAAAGGGGGAAATTGGCAGTGACTGTAGATACAGTTTCTTTTTGGAATGATGGAAATGTTCTGGAATTAGACAGTGGTAATGTTTGCACAACATTGTGAATGTACTAAGAACTACTGAATTGGATGTTTTAAAATGGTTAAAATGGTGAATTTCAAGTTTTTAAAAAGCTGTGATCTTTGAGATGGTGAAAGAAAGAAAAACATCAGAATATTCCAGTGCAACTTTGGGGAATATAAACTTTTGGATGCATTCAGGTGGAATCTTCTGAATGCTGTAGGACCTAGCTTTAAAACTCCTCAAACATAAGGATCTCCTGTGCAATCTACAATCCACACACCTATGAGCTATAGGATTCCCAGGTTCCTTGCAGAACCTGCCCCCCAGGCCTACCATGAGTCTGTGGGCTTCAGTATGTAACCCTTGCTTTGGAATAATTATGTGAGTAAGCAGATTCTCCCGTGATGCACACCCCAGACATAAGGTATGTGTTGCATGACTGAATGGTGCTGTTGTTTGGGTTTTAAGTATCTTTTTAAAAGGTGAAACAATTGTACCAATTCATTTTTGCTTGTATGAATCCACCCAACACAATGTCATCTTCTTAGGTCACCATGCCAAGCACCCATCATACACTTAAGCAGGCAAATAACCAGGACAACTGCTGAAACGATGGAATCCTCTTGATTTTACTGGTTTGAGTTGAGCTGCCAAAGGTACTGGGTTTTCATATACAGTAACAGCCGACTTGTGATCAGACTTCCAGTGACATCAACCTGAAACATCTGTGAACCCAGGGGGACATGGGGAAGAAGCAGGAGGCTCAGGGCCTCTTGAAAACAGCAGCCAAAAAGCCCATGCACCCTTCCTCAGAAGCAAAGCACACACGGCACATACGTAATACATAGTTTCCTGGCTTCCCTAGGAAAACTCCGGCTTTGCCCTGGGGCTTTTCATCTGAGAGCAGGAGGTGAAGAAAGCAGGTTAGAAGAGGAGGTCATGACAACCCCAGACATGGATATCTTCCCCCCTATTGTACAGGAACATTTTGTATTGTGCGCAAGAGATAAAGAACGGCTGACGCTGTTTTAAAAGTACAGCCACGGGTCATGTAGTATGGGGGTAAAAGGTCCCAAACACCACAATTGCCCCAGACGGCTTCACCAAGAGAGCAGACAGCAGAAAAAATCCATCAATGAGAACAGCTCAATAGTCTGTGAAAGGCAAAGCTGAGCCCTACCTACACATGTTGTTAGCTCCTGATGACATCATTGCACCGCACCAAGGTACAAAAGGGGTGGGTGTTTATAATGATGACCATGACTCCTCAAGAAAAGGTTAAATACTCTCCAGTATCCTCTGTTTACTAAGGCAGGGAAGTGTGTGATACATTTTAGAAAGATTTCCCTCAAAAAGATATTAAAATTTATAAGATTCAGCACTTAAAAGATTAATCCTCTATTTATCTTTGCTTACATGCCTCATTTTACACCAATGCTAGTAACTGAGGCATTACTTTTTTATAATCATCAGTATCAAATTATTGGCACCATTCAGTTTTAAGGATAGGGACAGGAGAGCAAACTATACAATACAACATAAAAATACAATTCTGATACAAATATATGACTTTGATCCCACTTAACAAGTGGTCATAAGAAATGGATGGACATTTCATGCACAAGGAAATACAACTGGTAAATCGTCACATGGGAATGTGCTCAGACTTGCTAGCAATTAATGAAACAAAACAACACCTTTCAAGAACTATACACACCTAATTAACCAACAAAAATAAATAAAAGTGGCAAAACCCAATACTGGCAGAGCTATTGGTAAATAGAAATGCTTATACATTGCTGGTGGCATCATAAATTGTAGAGGGCTTCAAGCATTCAGA